TCGCACCCACAGAGCAACCCGTCATGCATGCATTCCCCTCCGAATATTTGCCTTGCAATACCAAAGTCATTATGACACTCAACCTCCTCATCGTGGTGGGGGACAGAATCTGGTTTTCGGGAAGGTCTATAGGTGTTATCATCATCGTAATCTCTATACCTGCCGCCCCTGGTTCTACCCCTGGATCTGGATCTTTTCCCGCATTGTCCACTACGACTTCGTGATCTTCTTTTTCCACCTCGCTTACCACAACCGTTTTTTCTGTTGACATATTCATAGTAGTCCTTGTCATCCATGTACCAGCGGTTTCTATCCCTACGGGATCTATCCCTGCTTCTGGAGCGGTTGTCGTATTTTTTTCGGGATCTACTTCTACCTCGTGGGTATCTACGATCATCATAGTCTTCGGAATCATCACTGTCTTCGTTTACTTGTTTGCGCTTTAAACGGTCTAACCAACCTCGTTTTTTGTAGCGGTCATCTTCATACCTGACAGCTCTGCGTGGTTTATAGTTTCGGTTGGATCGGTTAGATCGGTTGGATCTCCAGCTTGCTACGCTTTCATCACTGTATCTCCTACGTCGGATACCTTCGGCTCCAGAAACAGTTTTTTGTGTTTCTAGGGGTTCCTCAATATTATCTTCGTCGTCATCGTCATCATCGTCATCTAAACTGGTTCTGCTTGATTGAGGCCCAAGATCTTCTGGTTCTGCATTTTTATTTTTATTTTTATCATCAGCAAAAGTAGCCTGATAGACATCTGTTGATTTATTCATCTTGGAATGAATCTCCATCGCCATGGGTTGGTAGATGTTCTTATTAGGAATTACGGGTATCACAGTTTCTTTTATCAACTTATCCCCGTGAATGGGACACTTCCCAGGTGTTTGTATCCCACGATCTTTTATACAGATTTTCAAAGGTTCCTTAGCCTGCTCCTTCAAACCCTCCAAAATACTAGAAGGTATCCTAAAAGGTAATTTCTTCCCAAAACTCCCACGAAGGTACTCCTCATCCAGTCTTCGGAATAAAGAAGTATGATCAGCTTGACTTCCAACATCTCCAAACATAGGCACAGTCTGCAGGTTTTCATTCTGTAACCTTTTATCTGTTCCTGCCAGTTTAAAAGTACTTCCGATGCAACAAACACCTTCAGACTGGTAGACTTCATATTCTTTTGTATAACAGGTCCCATGGGACCTATGATAATCATGATCTTTCTGGGTGCATTGATTACGACACTGGCCGTTATCGAAAAGGACCGGGGGACCATAGCAGGGAATACCCATACGAGACTGATAACCCCTCTCCCTTTCTCTATCTTCATGATGATGGTGATGGTGGTGGTGATGCCCCATGGGGTGGACTCGTCGGTACTTCCAATTATCTGAGTGACGATCATTTGTATTACTCAGTGAATTGGACCCGCAGTTAATAAAATCAATGTCAGAGTATCTGTGGTGTGTATGACGAAGTGGCCTATATTGATATCGTTCTATTTCAGGAATTGTTTCTAAAGTTGATATAGTTTTAGATGATGCTAGAGATCTAGATCTTTGTGGTGTAGAATGATAAGTAGAATGGGAATTAGTTTTAGATGAATGAGAGACATATGATGGCGAAGGGGCAGATGAAGTTTTTGTTGAGGTTGTTTTTATTGTAGTATCTTCAGATTCTAAAGTTGAATCAACTGTAGATTCGGAATCCTCTTTAGTAAGTGTTTTTGATCTTATATCTGAGTTAGACAATGACCGAGAAGTTAAAATTGGAATTTTAGATTTTTTTGAAAACTTTTTTTTCTTTTTTGGGACTTCCACCTCTAATGTTTCAGAACTATTCTGTAAATTATCTGAACCAGATTCTTGAGAATCTTTAGAATCTTTAGAATCTTTAGATTCATTTGATTCTTGAGAATCTTTCGAAGTATTAGACTCATCAGAATTTTTGCTTTCTTCAGATTCTGTAGGTGAAACCGTTTCAGGTTCAAATGGTGGAATAACTAAAGTAGACTCAGAAATACTAAGTGTAGAAACAGATTT